GGCTCTTTCCCTTCGTCATAGCACTATTGATAATATTAATTTCTGAATTTGACGCAACCAAGAGAAAGCACTTACATTGTATGAGAACCAGTCTTGTTTACGGAATTTTGAGAACTTTCATGGTAGTTTTATCATATGTTGATATCATCCCGCCCAGTTACTAGCATCTTGTGTCACTCTCACTATCTTTCAAATAGCATGAACACTTTACTACTTTTAGGAGCATATGGCCTATTCCCAATTTGGTGCTTATTCTTGGCTCGGAGACACGAGCAGTTGAGAATTCCCTTGTTCGGGAAAGGGGAGAAAGCACGGCAAGAAATGACCTGTTCAGCTCTCCTGAGAGACAAAAAAAAAGGCAATAAAAGACAATACCTTGCCCAAGGGGGCAATTCCAACGACATAGCACACAACTCGACTATTACAGTTTTCACAGGTATCTCGGTATCTTAGTGCAAGGAGCAACAAAATATTTACCCCATTGCACACTCCTCTTTATTACTTAAATCAGGATCCGAACTAAACACTATCAATTGGACCTTGTGAAGCCTTCTTCGGATCACTGCATTTCCGCTGCAATTTTTCCAATCATTCATTGTTACTAACTCATTGTCCAAAATACAGGTAGCTGTACCGTACAATTGTGCCCCCACAATCATGAGCACCGGCACTGTGCAACACACACTTACAGGACTCAAAATCTATAGTACAAGCCAATCTGTGCCATGCGTGAGCCATAGCATGGCCCATAAAAATAAAAAGACCCCCCATAATACTCATAACAAGGTTCTCATAATCCTGTGTAGTGGCCTTCCATCAACACAATCTAGCCCTTCAAAAACCTCTTCAAGCAACTCCCTCACTTCACCCTGCAATTCCCGGAAATTCTGCCCCTTTCGCGCCATCATCTCGAGCACAAACTGCAGACCATCCAGGTCTTTCGGGTAACATCGGTCAGCCCAGGCTATCCCCTTCACGAGTGCTAGGTCAACCAGACTGGCCACCGGCAGGGTGCCATCCACACAATAGGCTTGCAATTTATGGAGGTAACCACCTCCAATCTGGACGAAATCAATTCCAACATTTATCTCAAAGGTTGAGCGATACTCCCAACCTAGAGGGAACTGAGAGAATCTGGTATCCGTGGTAGCGGCCTTTTCAAATGCCTCCATTGATTCCGCTGTAATACTCAGATCAACATCGCTTGTCGGGATAAGGGCGCCGGGGAGAAGTAGGGCAGCTCCCCCAATGACAGCAAAGTTGCCCACATAGTGGGTACCTATCAAGCCCCACACCGCCCTCGCTGCCTCAAAGACGGCTAATTCCCCATCAAGTAAGTCCTCTGCTTGGCCCTCTACTTGCCCTTGAGCACCACCTGCAATAGCTCTTGTGGTAGCAGACACTGGAGCGGGGTTCATTCGTTGTGTGGTAGTGTTGGATAAGGGTGGAGATACCGACTTCGTAATTCTGTGGCAGCGTGAATATGATCCGAATGGACAGAGGATATTTACAGAAATGCACACTGGTGATTGGTGGTGGGACGTCCAAGTACAGTTCCAAACATGTATACACAAGGCAAGCGCCAAAGGTGCTAGCTGACGACAGGAGACTCTTCCCCCTGGCGCCACTGTGCTTTCGATTATTGGGAGGTCGGATCAGACGCATCTCAGCACCTTCTCGGGCGACAAGGAGTCCGGGCCTGTATATATTACTATTGGAAACCTTCCGTCAGCGCAGCGCAACAAAACCCGGATCTATGGTAGTCTCCTTCTCGCGCTGTTACCTATTCAATCCCAGTTCTCAA